GATATTATTAATAAGCCAGTGTTATTCTGGAACATAAAACAAGCAAATGATGAAGCCCAAATAAGAAGTTTTATGGGAAGTACTTATATCCCAAGTACCATTTTAAAGGGTACATTAAATTTTCTACAGTTCTGAATAAATCAAATGTCTATGTTTACACCTTTATTGGAGCTTTTTATTTTATTAGGAACAAATAAAAATTTTCAATGACCTTCAGAAAAATTTTGGAAATGTTTGTGAGGATGAATTGGAACAACAGGATTGAAAAAAATCCAATTGTATTTTAAATTATATTATATTAACTTGGGATACTGAATTATGCACTTATTTTGCCTGTCTGAATCTCTCTGCACTTTATTTTGTATGTGGTATTAAATGCCAATAGGCACTTTGCTCCTATCTTCTGAAATTTTTTCAGGCAAGAATTTAGGAAGATGCAAAAGATAATGAAGGATGAGAATTGTGGTTATTGATGTTAATTCCAAAATATTTCCGTTTCATGATCAGCCTTCAGGACTTGGACTGTGCACCAATTAAATGCTGCAGGCTATAACTGTGGCCCTAATAAACAACCTTGAAAATTTTGGCAGACCTTATTAGAAAAGGGGAGCAAGTGAGAAATAATAGATGCTCTAACACAGTCCATCTCTGTGACTGGAAAATTAACTAAATGTGTATTCTGTACTGATATGGACTTGTTGGAAAAATATTTGTCAGTTAGCACAGTAATGTATTTCCTAGCCAGGTCCCATTTTATTTTAATTTGCCAGTAGTCAATTAGGAAGCAGTTGTTATCAGAACACAACAAGATGATAAAATATGTTGGACCAAAGAAAATGGGGAGAGAAAATGATCATCCTTGATAATGACTGCAATCACCAGAGCACAGGTATGTCCAGGCCTCCCTCTGTGTCCCACCCCCATTTCTTTAAATTTCGCTATTAGCCTAAAAGAAGAAATAACGTCAATAATTCGACACAATGGAACTCTGTCATAGAAATACATAATTTAAAATTTTATATTATCTAAATTAGGAAAACCCAGACTCACAATTTTTCAGTATTAAAGTTTTCTCATCAGAAAACATGGCTAATAATTACTGAATGGACTGATACATGTGAAGTCATTAGCACTGTGCTTGGCCTATATTTAATATCCAATAAAGTTAACAGTCATTATTATTATATTTCCATGGTGGTTGTAATGATCATTATTTAGTGCTCACTGTTAATCTATTGAAGAAAGAAAGTGTAAAATGAAAAGGGTGCATTAGGATTTTACTTCTGTGGGTTTACATTTTTTTTTTTTTACCAGATTGATCGCCAATAAATTATGCATGTCTAGAATGATTGCTGTGTAAAATTATGATGCACATGACACTTTTACTTTCAAAATTGTTATATCCTCTGTAATGAAATCTTCTCCCTCTCCAAGAAGGTGTCTCTGACTGGGAAATTTAGCAAACTTGTCTATCCAATTCAATGTCCACTCAGCCTTGGCTCTTTCAACTCCCTTTCACATGTCTCAGAGAAATAGCTTATTCTGTTAGTTTTAGGGTTCTGTTCTTCATTTTGCAGGCAGTGTAGGAGATGTCTGAGCAGTATTGGTGTATGACTATTAAAAACTGGTAATAGGTTAAGAGAACTTTTGGTGACGAAATATGTAGCTCTAACCAAGGAATTAAATTGAACTAAACTGAACTTTAAAATTCTGGTTTTTCCTTTTATTTATTTATTTTTTAAGATGGAGTCTCCCTCTGTCACCCAGGCTGGAATGCAGTGGTGCAATCTCAGCTCATTGCAACCTCCACCTCCCGAGTTCAAGCAATTCTCTTGCCTCAGACTGCTGAGTAGCTGAGATTACAGGCATGCGCCAGGACACCTGGCTACCTTTTTTTTTTTTTTTTTAAGTAGAGATTGGGTTTCACCAGTTGGTGAGGCTGGTCTTGGACTCCTGACTTCAAGTGATCCACCCACCTCAGCCTCCCAAAGTGCTAGGATTACAGGCACGAGCCACTGAACCAGGCCAAAATTCTGTATTTTCAGTTAGAGTCAAAGCCCAAGGAGGCCTCTGCCATCTTGTAGCCCTTGCCAATATCCTACTCTTGTCTTCCAGGGTTCCTCCAAATCTCTCTCCAACTATTTGTTATCTACTCATTCAACACCCTTCTTCAACCATCCTCTTGCTTTGGAATTGATGTGAACCAACTAGGCCCACCTTATTAGTGAGTGCCCTTTATTTACAGACTTACCTTTCTGTTGTCCCAATTACACAGATGTTTCAATAGGATTCATCAGATAATACGATTTGAGATGTGGTGTTCAGATTCACAGAAGCATTGTGTATTAGTCCTCCTGCAAAACTATTTTAATAGCGTTCTTCACATTCTCTGAAATTATAGTTGAAAAGGTAGAATGGATACTTGAGAAAGTTTTTTCTTTTAACTTTAACATGATGCGTAAACATGAAGCTCTTCTTCCTTTGGGTTTTTTTTTACCTTTATTGTTTCCTGTTCTTTCTCTGGGCAGGTAGGAATTCATTTGCCCTGCCTGCCAGCCCCCATAGAGACAGAACCATTACCTACTGAAAGAAGATTTTAATGACGTGATGAAAATATTTTAGAAAGCACCTTGAAGAATAGTATCTTTATGTAACCACTGTTGGAGAGATGTCTTCAGGAGACTGAAGTAGAAGAGTTACTGTCAATATGGAAAGGTGAAGATTTGAAGTGTAAGATTATGAACAGTAGTGTAAAGAAGAGAGTTGAAATATTTTCCGCTAGATAATTCCTTCAAAAGGATTTGATCTGGTTTCTTAATCTGTATTTCTCTATCACCACATCTGGCCCATCATCTGTATTCAATAAATTGGATTATATGTAGAATGAATATAGTTATGTGACCTAAAGGATTTCCATAGAAAAGCTAGAGAAAAAAGTAATTAGGGAAAGGCAAAGAATAATCTGCTACAATAATAATTAAAGCTTGAAGATAAAGGAGAAAAAAGGCAGGGCAGGCAGTAAATTGAAAGATTAAAGGTATGCTATGTATTTAATATTATTTTCAACCAAAAATTTTTTGTAATAATTATATTTTAAAATCATCTTAAGCAAACTCGCTATTCAAAACTAGTAATTCCTTAGAAGTAAAAAATCAAACTCTGTAAAGAATATTTTACTCTCCTAATACAATCAGCTGAAGTAGATACGATTTAAACCTTTGTAGATAAAATTTAAACCTTCATTAAAAAAATACTGTGTGCCTACACAATTGTGTTGAAAATTCAGATGTTTACACAGTGGAGAGTAATAACCATTCTTGTACCAGTGAGTTAATAAAACAAACACCTTAATGACACTGTAGGGAAGAGAAGATGCCTTTCTTATGAAACTCTGAGGAGTCATCAATTTAATTTCAAGAACCCTTTTTTATTCTTTTGAGCAATGTTACTGGCAGACATATTATAGCTCCCCAGAGACTATTTCTAAGCCAACATTGTGACTAAGTTGAAGGAATAGGGAGGCGTGTTGAACTTTTTAATGCAAAATTGACACCTAATAAATCAAAGGCTATAAATGAAAATGATTAACAAGAAAAGATAGAGACTATCCACCAAGAGGATCATATATATCACCAGTTAAAAATCAGTCTTTCTACTAAATAATTTCCTTTGTCTTTTTCCTTCTTCTATAAACTCTTAACATTTGCTTGCTTTTTATCCTTTCCAGAATATTAAGGAGAAACCATTAGTGGTTGCATATTAAAAATGAATGAAAATCTATGTATATGTGTATCAATAAATTTATATCTACATATACACATACATACACACAAAAAGCTAGACAAATAAATCACCCTGCTTTCCTAGATAGAATAAAGCCTTTGATTAAGAATTTAGTTAATTTCTGACCAAAACCATTACCCCGAGCATCTCTGCTTAATGCAAGTAGTGGTGTTTAAGAAGTATATAAGGTTCAGGGACTGGCTTTCCTTAATTGATACTATCTTTTCTGTTACAGTCTCTGCCTTAATTCCCATTACTGGCAAAAGCTACTGTCTCCACCCATTCAGATGAGATTTAAGCATTACTTTCAATTGTTGTGTCCTTCGAGTTGTATGTCTCACAGGGTCCTCCCACCTGTGTATTATGGATGTATTATGTGTATTAAGGAATGAAATCTAACAAAATAGGGCAACAGTCAACATTTTGTCCTGTTCAAGCATGCACATGTTTTATTTAAGTATTCTCCAAAGGTCTATTTTTTTCCAGCATAATGCAGATATTATGCTATCCTTTGAAATAAGATATGTGAATTTCAAACAAAATTGTCAAAAACAATGACCTTAGTTACTCCATATGGTACACAGAAATAATTACATTTCACTTACAATACAGATGCACTTAACAGTCATCAATAATCATTCACCACCAACACAGTATATTTTTAAATCACCTAAAACATCAAAAAGGGTTTTTTCTTTTCCAAAAGCCTAATAAAATTAATAATTTTGGATAAGTGATAAATCAAAAGAGGAGGCAGAATTGTCAATTGAAATAACCTAACTGCATTTTCTTTTATGTAATATTAAGAACATGAAAATAGAACTTCTCACTGGGAATCAAAAGACATAGTAATTCTGATTATGGTTTCCTTAGTCTACTTTTTAGAAAGTTTTCAATAAATGCCATCAGATAAGTTTCACTAGACATTGCTCTAGAAGCACAAAGTGACACGAGGCAGGTGTTAATATAATTGTTAATATTTGTACTGCTGGAAGATTAGTAGCTTTTTAAAAGATGTACTAGGAATAAGGCCAGTTCTTCCCAAGAGATAGTTGAGTTTATCTTACTTTCACTCAGCAAATGTTTATTAAGATCTAATATGTGCATAGCACTGTTCTAGAAGCTATTCTAGAAATGGGAAGCAAGGATTTCTGGCTTTACTTGAAAATGGTTGGATTAATCCATTTTTATGACAAAATATGATAAGCATTTAAAAATCTCATCTCTAATAGAGGAATAATTATTAACTCTTTCCATGTACAGAAGCTAAGCTTTATTCCTTACAGTGGTGGCTTGGAATGAATAAAAACTTTGCATTTGACTTTAAACTTTTTTACACTGTCACGTGCAGACATGTCTGCTGACATATTTTAAGGGTGAAAAGTTATAAAAACTTTTCACTTAAATGTACAGAGATCAACTTTGCATCATCAAACTCCTGTCCTCCTGATTTATTGGAGAAAATTGTACCTCGCAATACACAGGAACTTTTCTCAGATAAATTTGTGCTGCTTTCCTGAATGGTGTAGAAAGCATGCTTTCATCAAGTATTGCTCAATAAAGCACTCTAGTTTATCTCTACATTTCAATCCACATTAGTTATTCTCAAAATGTATTCAAGATCTGAGGCAAAATAAATAATACATCAAGTAAGATTCTGAGATGACCGATCCTGTGATATTAGTCCCAGTCAATTCTTTTCATAAAATACATAGTGATAGATCCAGTATCTGGGCTTTTCCATAAACAACAAAGACGTTAGTGATAATTTACATGGGTCAACTCCTTTTTTTTTCTCATTTTTGACAAGGGGATTGATGACAATCTACTTACAAGATAATTTTTTTTTTTTTTGAAATACAAAAGTAGGAAAGTCACTTGAACTACAGTAAACATTAGTCTTGTTGATGATGATAAACCCAATAGAAAGGTGCTATAGAAATACAAGAACAGATAATGCACTGTCACAGGAATACAGTGGACCAAAGAATATTACTGAAAAACATTTATGGCACAATAGTTTTGGATTAAAAAGTTACCTAAAACCTGGCCACACCAGAAGTTTTTCTACGAACGTGGCTCCTACCGTATCTATAAAGATCTGGAAAGTACAACAACAGAAAAATCCTGATTCCTGATACAACAGTTGTACAATGAATTATTGCAGTTGTAACAGTATCTAGGTGCAAAGTTAAACGATAATTAATACTGAACTATCTGAACACTTTAGATTTACTAATGAGTATCCCCATGAGAAATACTGCAGTTCTAAAAGGAGTTTATTTGCACAGCCCACCATGGAACATGAACACTCAGCTTGTTGTAAGTGCACAGAAATTACCCCTTTCTACAATTATAGTTTATCATGCCTATTCTGAAGACAACATAAAGAAACTGAGATCACTGCTTCAAAGAATTCTAGCATGCATTATGATGGTTTCCTTCAGTCAATACAAATATGCTGTGGTTTTTTTTTCATATGTAATAATCTTCATCATAGCCAATGTTCATGGTTTTAACAGGAAAAAATTTTATCAAAATGTTTTCCATATTTTTTTTGTTTTGCATTCAACTGGAACATTATGTTCAAAGATTTATTTTATTTATTTTATTAAAAAAGAGTTCTGATCATAAGAAGCATCAATAGGCGGCATTTCATTGTGCTCATTCACAAAGTCAAAGGGCCACAGAATATTACTCTGTGTAACAGGTCAAACTGTCTAGAAATGCCATTTGGTGGTTTTATTCACATCCTTAAGATTGGAAGCTTTGTTTTTGTTTCATTTCCAACCTTCTTGCTTTGCTGCCTTAATCTGCAGAATATTTGTTTCTTCTTTCTTCTACGTTGAGATTCTTTTCACAGCCAGGACTCAAATTCTCTTAAACCCTATTCCGAGTGTCTTACAAAGCAGAAACTCTGACAATATTTCCTCCTGAGTACTCAGGAGATTCTGGCCTATCGTCTCCCTCTGGTGTGGTTACTGGAGGTGTTGGGATACTTATTATTGCTGTAGTCACATAAGGTTGTTCACAGTTTAGTTTAACACACTCTTCCATTTTGGCATTTAAACTGGATCGGCTGATAGAAAAAAAAAATTAAGAAAGGAAGTTGTTTAGCTAAATTTTTTTCATACAACTGAGGAATATGTGTTGTAATGCTTATAAAAACATTTTAATTGTCTAAGGAAAGTTATTATAATTAAACATATCAAACCCCAAATCTTAATCTATATTAAAGATGAATATAGTCAGTAATTAACATTAAATAAATTTCTAAAAGACAGTTTCACTTGGTTCCATCAAGTGTTTATCAAACTAAAAGTATTCTTAAAAAATGTAAGAAAGAAAGAGCATCAAGTAAGATTTGGACAGCCTGGGCTGAACAAAGTAGTTTTATTTAAGACAGGACCTCTATGAGGTTTGAGAAACCACTATGAAAGAGCCATATCACATTGATTTCTTAATTCTTTTGACCACAGAATATTTTTATTTTCATGTCTTTTTGGGATGTATAATGCCCTCAAATCTCTCAACTTAATGATGACCACATATTATAAAAATCAAAAAATTTATCTATTACTATCTAATACTTTAAGGTTTTCCCAAATGGTATTCTTGGATGAATTGTATACTCTATATGGAGAAGCAGATAAAAGGGAAATGAGAGAGAAGGATATACACAGAAGCTTGAACCTAATTATTTTATTTTCATGGAAAACATAATTAAGATGTTTACGTCCTAAGATTTTCTTGCTCGATACTTTTCCATTGTTGACTTCCTTTTATAAAGGATATAAGGCTGCAAAGCTAAAATATCTTTAAGATAGAAGTCTTATGGCTCCTAAGTTTAATTTTCTAGTCCCAGAGACATCCAATTTATGTAAATCGACATCACTTGAATTCAGAATCTCATCCAGATTTCAACAAAGACTTATGAATGCCAACAAAGAAGGGGACTGAATTTACAGACTCTAACGCTAAAAACCTATGCTATTCAATTTGAAAACAGAATAAAATTATTTTGGCAGAAACATATTTTAATGACATATATTGTTTAAGTGTACTACTTTTTCGTTTTACACATTTGTGGTAAAGACAGTGAATAAGGAAAAGCAAAGGAAAAATATCAATACGGAAGTTTTACTTAACTTGTTCATGAACTAACCAGAGGCAAACAATTTTAGTACTTCACTTATTTTTGTATTATGTTGATTTTGTGTTTGATATGGCCAAAAATATCTTTCTGATCAAAATTATATATTGATATAAATGATTTGTGTAGGCAAAGTTTTCATTTTTACTGCTACAGAGAGTGTGTTTGTATATTTTTACATGCTGTTAAATGACTTTTAGCCATGTTGATCTCAATTTTATTTGACTCTTTTAGTAGTGTCCACCATCATTTCAGGCTATTGAATATATAAGAGAATCCTGAGTATAAAAGTCCTTGCCCAAATAAGAAAAGGTTGTGGAGCAGAAGAGAGAAAAACACATTTGTGTACACCCAATCATGTTTCCTTCTTTTGACTCTTTGAATATTGATATAACTGCTACTTTTAACCCTTAATGGATATGCAAGTAGAACCATTTTCCTACTTGTTACACTACCAGTTTTGTCTCTTCCTGAACCATAGGAGCTAGGAATTTAGATGTCACATAGGTGACAACATGAGTGCAGAAGACACACCCTGGGAACCAGCACAGGTGTGCAGACAACACAGATTAATCTCAGGTACCTGTTAGATAGAGGCGTTCTCTCCACACATCTGATCTGAATCGTGCTGAGTTCTTGTACACTACCTCGATGGCTTCCTGATACGTTGGCATTTGGGATGCGAAAAGTTTTTTTGTGTCGTCGTGAACAGCAGGTGCTGGTGACTCCTTGTTGTGAAGACAGTGAGGGACTGTGACTTGAAGGACGATTAACAGTTGCAACTTCCATGCAGCTTTCTTCAAAGACTTGTTCGTCCACAAACTCGTGATTCTGTTCCACAGTTGTAAGTAAATGAAGAAACAGAGAAGCACATTTTAAAAAACGAAATACGTAGCTTTATTTTTAAAGCTCAAATATGCCCAAGTATAGTTAGACTTGACACAATGGTTAAATAAAACCATTTTCATAAAGATTGACATCAAAACCACTTCTTTTTGGCATTTATGTGGAACTATCTTTGTAGTTAAACCTAGAGATTGACATCTGTAGGCTGATCTAGTGTCCCTTTATAGACTAACTTCATCTTGAAATATCATTTATTTATTTAAACATAAAATCTGGAAGGTATAAGCTAAGAAAAAAACAAAAAACACCTAAAAAATGAATACAGATAAAACCCACAGGGAAGTTATAAATTTTCACTGACTTTATTTTTTAAAACAGGTTGAAGTTATGGAAAATAGATTATTTTAATAGGATGCCCCAAGTTAGATTGTCTGTTATATATTAGCAAATATTTTCACTTGGGATTGAAAACATTTCTAAATGAGAAAATGAGACCCCAAGACACTATCCATTTATTTATATGTTCCTCTAAAAATACCCAGTGCAGAAAAATATGACTTACTAGTTACATAAATAACTGCTGTGAATGTGTCACTTTATGTTTGACACAGAAGGGATTAGCATTGAAATTTTGTGGCCTTTTTTGTAATCTTTGTGATACATCACTGGCATCACTGGCTGTACTCATGATCTCTGTTTGCATTTGGGGTTTTTCCATCACTATTTCTTAACTTTTAGCCCAGTAGGAAATGGTAATAGGCATCATTTCACATATCATATTTTGTAGAAACATGATATCAATTTTGCTTTTAAAATGTTTAACAAAAACCTCCTGAAATGCCTATGCAAGAATTTCACCTCAGAAATATACAAGAAAACATTTTTGGTCTGAACTACTTGAGAATGACCTCAATTACTACTTTGTTTTTCTTTGCGTGGGTGGGGATAGTCTTATAATGGAAGGCTTTGCACATACTAAATTCCACTTAGCCATCTCTCATCCTAAAATATTAGTAAAACAATTGAAGCAAGACACTGGCTAATAAGAAATAGATTATGTTTTAGCTACTCGTTTTGTCATTTCTTTGCTGAGACAAGCATTTTGAAATAAATGAAATTTAACATTCTATTCTTTGAAGTCTAGAGAATAATATAATCAGACAAGACAGAATTTCATGTCAAATATTAAATTTCAAAGAAAAAATGGTGCACAAAAGATTCACAATCTGTTTTCTTCTCTTACAATGCATGGTTTCACATACCTAAGTTGCAATGCATGAGATTCTAATTTATCTCATCAGTGATTGAAAGTGTGGGAGTCATTCTGTTATTAGTTACTGCGTACTTTTGTAGGTAGCACGATTTATATTAGTTGGTGTTAAATGGTTTTTGATTAAAAAAAAAAGCCCTCAAAAAAGGAAAATACAGGAAACAAAAAAGATAAGAATAAAAATATTTTACATATTTATTTATTTATTTATTGAGACAGAGTCTGGCTCTTGTTGCCCAGGCTGGAGTGCAGTGATACTATCTCAGCTCACTGCAACCTCCGCCTCCCAGGTTCAAGCAATTCTCCTGCCTCAGCCTCCCGAGTAGCTGGGAATACAGGCTCCTGCCACCACGTCTGGCTAATTTTTTGTATTTTTAGTAGAGACATGGTTTCACTATGTTAGTCAGGCTGGCCTTGAATTCCTGACTTCAATTGACTCGCCCACTTTGGCCTCCCAAAGTGCTGGGATGACAGGCGTGAGCCACTGCGCCCGGCCAACATTTTATTATTAGTGTATCATTTAACTTTCAAATTTATCCTACTAGGTTACAGACCTGTCCATATCTTTATTTAAAAATGCAAGTATAATCATGTTACTACCTTGTTTAAAACACTTAAATAATTTCCATGAGCTGAAGATCAAAATTGTCCACATGCCTGTAAAGCCTAGCATTACCTGGACACTGCCTTTCCCTTCACCTCCTCTTTTGCCATGCTACACTCTCTCCTTCTGACTACCCTCAAATTCTTTCACTTCCTCCCAGGCTGAGTTCCTTCCTTCTTGAGGTACTTCTATCACCTGTTAGCCCCTTCATTGCTCTGCCTAGCTAACTCCTAGTCACCCTGCAGGTCTCCACTCAAGTTCCTCCAGGAAGCCTTGCCTGACCTGTCCCCTCATGGCTCTGCCCTCTTCGCTCCCTTGACCAGTGGCATCATTGTTGCTTTCCATGTTCGCTGCTCTTTTCCAGTAACAGCCCTGTCTGGGGTTTTGTTTTATAATGGAGGCTAATGGCAGCAGAGGCCACACCTCATTTCATGGCGTTTCTTGGGTCTGGCTCACTCTTGGGCACATAGTAGGCATGAATGACTCTATTGGTAAATAAGTACATGGACAGGCAATACTTTAGAACTGAGATTACAAATCATGTGTCACCCGAGAGTGAGTGAGATGACATGATCCAAATATGGTGAAGATTTTGTTCTGCTCTGTAATCATTATAGACTGTGACTCCTATTTACAAACTGGCTAAGAAATTGGTAGATTTGCCAATGAGGAGGTCCAAATGAGAGCTTGTAAGTGGAGAAATACAGACTCACTCCTTAGCACCCAGGGGCATACCAGTGATTACATGAGTCATTTTTCTAATGAGAATAGTTTCTTTTTTTTTCTTTTTTTTTTTTTTTTTTTGAGACGGAGTCTCGCTCTGTCGCCCAGGCTGGAGTGCAATGGCCAGATCTCAGCTCACTGCAAGCTCCGCCTCTCGGGTTCACGCCATTCTCCTGCCTCAGCCTCCCAAGTAGCTGGGAATTGAGAATAGTTTCTATTATCTATCTCTATTCATTATGGTTGTGAATGAAACAAATGCTTGTATTCCATTGTTCTCTGTTTTTTGTTATTGCTATTGCTATTCTCTTGATCTAGATGTTAGGGAACCTCGAGCACCATTAATTTTTTTTCTGTCTAATCAGCATTTTAAGAATCACAAACAATGACATTGTGTAGGAGTTACTATTGGAAGACCACTCTTCATCTGCATTAACCGACTTCTTAGACTAGAGTTGAGATAGCGGGTAAGAATAAAACATTCTAAATAAGTTTCTAAAATACTTTCCAAGTTGAAATGTCATTAAAGTCTTTCAAAGTAATTTCAAATATTGTGAGGTTTTGGTTTGTTTGTTTTTTAGCATGTTGTCCAGTAATGCAGACAGTGAAATCACACTCGGAAGCATGAAGTATGCAGAAAGGCAAATGGAATTAATGTCGGAGAGCAGAGGAAGGCAGTCATACTTTCTCCTTACCGTGGTTTTTTCCAGGCAGTGAAGCAGGTGGTGGTGCTGGGTTTCAAAGCTGGAGCCGGATTTGCTAACAAAAGCCTGCTCATCCTCTGAGGACTGTTAACAAAAAGAAGACAGAAGAGCTTTCTATTTTATTTGCAAACAACTCGAACCTCAGCTACACATTTCCACAGAGAGATCTGCTCTATTAACTGGCAACATTTTATTTATTTTTTAACTAGAAAGGAACAAATGTGCAGTTCCTGTAAAGTTGGATGATCGGCATTTACAATTTCATCAAATGAATGGTCTGGTCTTTTAGACATGCCTCTTTGAATTGAAATTTTAAATCTCTTTTACTCATTCAACTACCAACTATGTTTGTAAGATGGGAAGCTGTAATGTTTTGATGATCAAATTTAACCTAGTGCTTAGAAAATTTGGAAACCGTGATCATGCGCACGTAAATAAAAACTATTTTGTAAGTCAAGATTGGAATCCTAAATATTAAAGGAAAATTCTGGGGTAAAAATAAATTTTCTCAAATTGTAGTTTATGCCATATGATCTTCCTAACATTGAATGTTGTTCCCTCTTCGTTATGAAGTAAAAGAAGACATCATGTTAGCCACCCACCCCAACCCTTGATCCAAATGAACGTTAAGGAAGATAAATTTGAAATAAAAAAAAGAATTAGGCATTTGAATTATTGAGCTTTTTTTTTTTTTTTTTTTTTTACCTTTACCATGTTAATAAGAGACAGGGTAG